TAGAGCCAACAATTGGATTTGATCATGGCACTGTATTTTTTATCTCATTATTCTTTTTCCTCTTAATAAATAAAATTTGTTTTAAGCATCGTTAGTAATAGTTCAACTAGAATGTTGAATGTGCCATAGTCAAAAAGTTATAGAAACTTGGTTTGAAAACCAGATTTTTTGACAGATGTATCATCCCATACTTCATAACTAACTGAAAATTTGGTTACCATAAAATTAAACTGACCAACATGAGTGCTCCCATTTCAGTGATGTTGAAATTTACCATCATATGCCAGGAAATGAAATGAGATGCCACCAGTTATTCATTAATACCATAAAATTTCTCCACTTTCTCAAGTTGAAAGTGAAAGTGAAGTCACTCAGTCGTGTCCAACTCTTTGTGACCCCGTGGACTGTATGTAGCCTACCAGGCTCCTCTCTCCATAGGATTTTCCAGGCAAGAGTACTGGAGTGGATTGCCATTTCCTCCTCCAGGAGATCTTCCCAACCTAGGGATCAAACCCAGGTCTGCATTGTAGGCAGACGCTTTACCATCTGAGCCACCAGGGAAGTCCTCAAGTTGGCCAGGGTGAATATATCAAGTTGGTCAGAGAAAATTTGATGCTAAGGATCTGTGGAATTACCCTGGTATTTTTATATACGATTTCATTTTTTAAAATTGTTGGTTAGGACTTACTGCATTGATTTTCGTGACTGCAAATTGGTTGCAAACTGCAGTTTGGAAAACTCTGGTATAGAAAGATCATAGTGGAGAGGGAGAGTGGCTCCTAGGTAAATTCAGAATGGTAGCAAGCCCTAGGTCCCATAGGGCTTAGTAAGCAACAGTAAAGATTATAGAATTTACTAAAGTGTGATTAAAAGTCTTGAGAATTAAAACCTGATTTTCATATGATCACTCTGGCTGCTGGGTGGAGAGTGGATTAAAGGGCTGATGCCAGAGTAGAGGTGGGCCCACAGGCCAAATCCACCCGCCACCTGTCACTGTAAAGCCTGTGAGCAAAGAATGGTTTTTACATGCATTTCAAATGGTCAGGAATAAATCAAAAGAATAATAATATTTCATAATGTGAAGGTTATATGGAATTTAAACTTGAGTGTCCATAAATGAAGTTTTACTAGAACACATTGAAGCTCATTGTGTACATGTGGTCTATGGCCACTTTTGTGCAACAAGAGCAGAGTTGAGTACTTACAATGAGGATAGTATGGCCCACAAAGCCTAAATATTTATTATATGGCCCTTTAGAGAAAAAGTTTGTTGACCCCTGTGGTAGAGTTTAGGCAGCCATGTTAGTCCAGGAGAGAGATGATGGTGTCTTGGACTGAGGGTAGTAGTGTATGTACATGGATACAAGTAGATAAGTATGGGAGACATTTTGGAGAAGGGACTGAGAAGTTTTGCCGTTGAGTTTGTTTACTGGTGGAATTGATTGAAAGTTTCTTTTTCCTTCACTGAGTAAAGACAACCATCTAGCCAAAAAAGTAAATGGATCATGTTGCATTTCCTTCTGTATGTGGTATTCAAAAAGATGTATGTAACTTTCAAAAGCAACTTCAGTGTAAAATGAAAAACATTGCTATGTTTGCCTGACCCATAAGACTTGTAATCCTTCTCTATAACTAGCTTCTAGCTGTGTATTTTAAATTTACTGACCTCTTCTTACATATACACTCCTTATAAATATTAAGACTGTTCTGGGCTTTCAAATTACAGTACATTGTTTTAAATGGCTTGAAAATTTAAACTTAGGTAGAATGCTTAGGAACCACTCTAGGTCTCCTATTGGTTCTGTGACTATAGTTTGTGGTTGTTCTTTTGCATGAGTGTGTCAGCTGTGGCAGGGTGGAAATTTTAATAAAGTTTTTATTATAAATTTTATTTATATTTTCCTTGTATAGCCCCTGACTGTAATGGAAATAGTCTTTGAAACCATAAATCTGTAGAATCTGAATTTGCAGTACAAATTACTTTTTAAACAGTAATTCAAACTTTTAAATGTGTAGCAGTTGTTTTTGACCATTTATTATACATGAAATTTATAAAATCATGTAAGAATTATATTTATATAGTTATTTATACCTTTCTGTCTCTAACAGTATGGCTGACTAAATAATCTGAAGACCCTTCTGTTTCAAATCACCTAGAAATTTTAGATAAAATATAGCAAACATCCATTTAAATGAACAACTGAGCTTTCAAGAGAGTAAGGAAAACAAATTCAAACATAAAGAAAAGACTGAAAAACAGAGGAGTGTGTCAGCTGACATTTGACTGCTCTATGGGTAGGAGCAAAAGTTAATGGTCTGGGCATTGTTGGGATTAGAATTTTAATGCCCGTGTGGAAATAAGGTACAGAGCTTTGAGTTTGTACAAAGTGGAGAGTTGGAACAGCATTCACGCATGAAACCAGGATCCTTAAAGGACTGTATACTTCCAGCAAAGGGGTAGATGAGGAAAAGGACCCATCCATCAGCAGAGGGAGACTACAAAGAAGCTTTTAAATAAGATTTCCCTAAGAATTTGTAACTATGTTCCTGCCTCTTGTTGGCTTGGAATTTAAATTAATATTAACTTATTGTTCTGGGAAAACCTAAACTGAGAAATTAATATAAAAAAAGATTCATAGTGTAGCAAAACCTCTGAGTTATTTGGAAGAAGCGAACACATACATCCTTGGTGGGGCAAGCTTTCAAACTAGGCTACCTAGTTTCCCAAAGTTAAACTGCATGAAGTTGAGTTTGCAATACCCAACTGAAAATTTCATTATCACAAGTGATGCAATGAATAGGGTTAAATCCATAAGGCCCTCAGATAATTATTGTGTTTTGTTATTTAGACACTAAGTCATGTGACTCTTTTGCAACCCTTGGACTGTAGCCTGCCAGGCTCCTCTGTCCATGAGATTTTCCAGGCAAGAATACTGGAATAGGTTGCCATTTCCTTCTCCAGGGGATCTTCCCGACCCAGGGATCGAACCCATGTCTCCTGTATTGTCGAGGGATTTCTTTATCACTGAGCCACCAGGGAAGCCCAGTTGTCATATGGAGACCATAAAATAAGTGTTTAAATGACAAAAAGCTTAAAATAATGAAATGAAAACATAAGAAAGTAGATCAAAAGATTTGGAAAGGAATCCAATAAAGCTTAGAGAAATAAAAAATATAGTCATTAAAAAAAAATGGAGTAATCAGCAGAAACAGTTAATGGAGGAATAAATGACTTAAGAGAAATGTGAAGAATTTATCCTGAAGCAGGAAAGAGAGGAAGAAAGAAGAAAAATATACCTTTAGAGACACAGAATTTGGAATGGGATGATCTAACTAAAGAAGTTCCAATAGGAGAAAAAGTAATATGGAAATGAAGCAATATTTCAAGAGAAAACGGCTGAAAATATTGCATATTAATGAAGGGCGAGTCAGATTAAGAAGTGAGTCCCAAGGATAAAGGAAAAAACTGTTCCTCACCTAGGTGCATCATGAAATCAAAAGAAAATAGAGCCAGAGTTTTTATGGGTAGTATTCTCCTACAACTAAGACACTGAAATAAATTCAGGTTTTAAAGTTATTTTCTAGGATTAGTGATAAATTTTCACTGATCTATCTGCATGTTCACTGTTGGTTCAACTTGTGATTCAGAATTTCACTTGGCGAAGTGTTTGATAAGTTTTTGCCATGGAGCATTAGTATTTAAATATAAATTAATAGTGCTTTGAGGAAATAATTTCTTTTTCTGACCAGTTTTCTTGAGGGAAATAAGGAATACACCATCAAGAAAACTACCATTCAACACCTTCCAAAAATGAGGACTTAAAAGTCACTGGTTAAAAATAATAGTGTAATTTGAAATGTTAACAACAACAAAATATCTGTTACCTTTCTTTGTTATTCACTCAGTCCAGTTTTAGAATTTCTCTTTCTGTATCATGAAATCATTCATTTATTTTTCCTTCTGGTTTCCACTCTGATTGTTCTCTTCCTGTTTCTTATTCATAGACTGCCAAGGAACAGCTGTATTTGCAAGTCACTTTAAATGGTTTATTCATCTTATGTTTAAAAAGCAAGATGAAATAAAGCAAAACCCACTTTGCTTTTTTCCTCCATTTAATTAGCATTTCTCTTTTGATTTTTTCCCCTTTTACTTACTGCACCAGCTGGTTAGCAGACAAGTATAGTGGGCCCTCTGTGAAAATGATTACTCTGTAATTATTCTCATTTTCCCCCATTCATTAGCTGTTTTGATGTGGGGCAGAGTGAGGCAGAAGCTAATCTAAATAATCCTGACAGGTCAGGTTTCATTTTGAAATAGTCTGACATTGGCCTCTATGAGCATTAATCACAGTCCTGCTTTAAAGTTCTGTGAGCTGAATATCCCATCATTTAATCTAAACAGCTTCATTAATGAGATGTGTGTGTGTGTGTGTGTGCTGGTAGAGTGGGGAGGAGACTAGGAATTTTGGGCATCTTTCCCTCTTACCGTGCATACCCACGAGCATATATACATTCACACTGCTTTTCCAAAGTGTATTTTCCCCTGTAAAAACCTCTTCATAACAGCCTCCATTTATTACTAGATCTTGTTTTTAACCATTTAACAATTAAATTTGTGTATGTATTTGAGATATAAAACTTAAATCCTTTCTATCTTATTTCTCTAGCACTCAGTCTGTACTTTTAGACATTCTTTATTACTTTAAATATCTTCTAAAAGTTTTTCTCCTTATCAATCAGTTTTGAATTTTAAACAACTTATATTTTAAACTGTACATTTAAAATTTTTCTATTTTTTCTGTTTGTTACTGATGTACGTATCTTTTTTAAATCAGGGTATAAGTTTTCAGCAAGGAAATGTTCACATTTTCTTTGCGCAGTTCCATATACAAAAATGAGTTTAGGTGTTTTAATCTTTTAAATCATCAAGCTAAGTTTTCTTTATAGTTCTTATTTAATGTGTTATGGATATTAAATTATGTTTGTGTATTGTTATTTAGGTGACTATTATATGGTTAAAAAGATTTTGGAGGAAAACAGTTCAGGTGACTTGAACATAAATTGCGTAGATGTGCTTGGGAGAAATGCTGTTACCATAACTATTGAAAACGAAAACTTGGATATACTGCAGCTTCTTTTGGACTACGGTTGTCAGGTACAAGGCTAGATAATTTTATCCAGTAGCTTTTAAGTACTGCCATGTTCTGTCCTTTCTCTCTAGTTTTCTTCCTCCCTCCCTTCCTTCCTTCCTTTTTTTCCTTCTTCCTTTCTGTTTTTCTTCTCTCTTTCACCTTTTGTTTTGAGCTACTAAAAATTTAAAAACAAACCAAAAAAAGCCTCTTTAAAAAATATAATATTTTGACTTGATTTTTTTCCCCAATTTTCACACCTCCTCATCTTATATGTTTTAAAACATCCAACAGAGGTAAATTATTATGACTTATTAAAGATGACTTTGTTTTTATTACTTATATTGTTACTATCTATCTTATATATCTAAAAATAGTACAAGTATTCTGGAAGTGTCAGGGGAACAGGTATTTCTGTGACCCATATAACTTACAAGCATAAGAACAAAGTACTTCTCACATACAAAGCAATTTTCAGTTTGACTTTGATTTTCTCCTAAGTTTAATTAAATTTTTCTTTTTGTCTGAAATTTAGTGTTTACTTATAACTAAATGTGAATGAAATTTTTTAAATTGGGAAATATTGACCTTTCTTGCTTGTCTTCATATCAGTTCAGGTAAAAAAGTAGGCATGTGTATCTTGAAAGAGTTTAGTTCAGAGATGTGAAGGAAATTTAATGTTATTTTCCTTCCTTTTTGTTTTGCTTATCATGGGACTTTGCATTTGAATTCTGGCTCTTTTTTTCCTTTCAAATAGTTTGAGCATTTGTTGTGTTGTAGCTTTAAACTAATGGCCTTTTTAAAGAGTGATATCAGGAAATACTCATAGATTTTTAAAAAATAAATAGGTTAGTCCTATATACATTTCTATTATAAATATTATATATATATATATGTATTACAACATCTGGTATCATCTCTGTATATACATATTTAAGTAGAAAAAAATTGCTTTTCCAGAAATTTCATTTATCCAGAATACCACCAAGAACCAGAAAGTAAGTAAAAAGTACCCCTGAGCAGCCAGATTAGATGTGATGAGGTTTCCCATTTATGAACTTTATCTGGAATCTTCTCTTAAAGTCTATTTTTTCTCATTTTAGATTACACGTTTAACAAACTTACTTAGTTTTCTAATCCATAAAGAATTATGGGAGCAACAGAAGAGGCATGAGGCTACAGTGGAACAAAGTTAGGCACAGTACCTCTGACTCTATTTAAGGAGATCAACAGCCTTACATACCTGATAATCTCTAAGGGAACTGTATGTTCGAGTGGTAATTAATGTTTATAACAATAGCCCAGAGTCAGTAAGGGAAAATTAAATTACATTCAGCATATATTGCTTAAGAAGAAAGAGGAATATATATAGTGCTTCTGAAAGCAGAAAAATTCTGTCAAAATTGTTTAAATTTTAAAGTTAAATACTTAAAAGCATAAGCTTCAGTTACCTAGAAAATAAGGTTACAAGGAAAGTCTCTGATGATTCCATATACAAGAGGTATTATGGTACAATAATCATTTTCTTTTTATATGTAAGTCTGTATATACAATTTCTGTAATTTACATGGTTCTTTCAGATACCTGAACATATTTGAACGTCATAGCCAGCCTATACAGATGTTATATTTTTTAGAGCAGAAAACTGAGGCTCACAGACTGTAATGTATTGCCCAAAGTTCTAAAATAAATAAGGGCAAAGCTAAGATTTGAACCAAATCTTTTGTCTGCAAATCCCATGCTCTTTCTAGTTCACCGTGTCCTGTCCTGGGTTACCTGTGTCTTACTTCTCAGTCAACAAATGTCTGAAACCTTTGATTGGGTGTCATTGTGGAAATGAATAAGTAAAACATGAGTTCTGTACAAAAGTATGTTAAAAGAAATTGAACAATGAATTTTAAATCAATTAAATAATAGAAAAGTATATTTCATATGTACTGAGTGGTAATGATAATTGATCCTTGTATATTGCTTAGGGGTTATAAATTGCTTTCATGTATTTTATCTTGTGTCGTACTAGTGACTCTCAACTGGACAATTTTGTCCCTCAGGGACATTTGGCAATATCTGGGAACATTTTTGCTTTTGCAGTTAAGGGGGGTGGGTTTGTACCTGGCCTCTGGTGGGTAGAAGGTAACGATGCTGTTAATGATCCTATGGTGAACAGGACAGCCCTTCAACAAAGATTGATCTGGTCCAAAATGTCAGTAGTGCCACTATTGAGAAACCCTATTTTATTCTTAAACTTTAGTGGTTTACCGTAAGTGTTCTGGAAACATAGGAAAGAGAAGATCACTGAATTGGCACTATCAAGAAAGCTTTCATGGAAGTGTCAGTTGAGCTCAAGCCTTGAAATATTAATAATTGCAAATAGTCACTTAATCCCTACAAAAGCCCTATGAGTTGGGTACTACTATTATCCTTGTCTTATAGAGGTGGAAACCGAGGTACAGAAAGCTTCAGTAACATGCCCAAACTTATTCCATAAATGCCAGATCTGGAATTTGAACTCAGGTTCTGACTGCCAGAGTCCATGTTTTTACACTATTACCTAAAACTACTGTAAAAAATATGTATTTAATAGATAGGAGGGGAACAGGATATAGAGAAGGATATAAACAAAGATATGTTCAATGTATGTTCTTGAAACAGTGAATTGACTTAATCTTTTTGAACAAGATATTTGGGTTGGATGGTAGTGGAAATATCTGGAAAAATAACTAAAACAAAACTGATGAAAAGGGCTTGAATGCTGGTCTAAGGAATTTGGGTTTTATGTGATAAATAATGGGATCATTACAAGATTTTTGAGAAAGGATGTGATATATACAGTGATATTTTAGGAAAACTAATCTAGTGGCTGTGTTCAGTATAGATGAAAAAAACAGGAAATGGGGAAGGCTATAAACAACTTGGGTGAGCAGTTTTTTATAGTAATCCAGATACAAGGAGGTTAAAGCCTGAACCGGAATAGTGGCTATGAGAAGAGGGGAAAAATAATGGCAAGTGTAAGAGAGATTGTGAAGGAAGAATTGATAGAACTTAGTGAGTATTTAACTTTGGAAGGGAGGATTGAGAAAGAGTCCAAGATGATCTGAAAATCATAAACATGGGTTACTGAGAGAATGATGAAAGGAAAACAGGAAGTTACAAAGCTAAGTCAAACTTGTGGCAGAGAACTGTGATTTCTGGTTTTAGCCTTGTTTATTTTGGGGCTATCAGGCAGTTTTCAATGGAAAGCTTACATCTCTAGGGAGAGGTTGGGCTGGAGAAATACAGCAGTCATGGGCATGGGGATGGTCCGACACCATGAGAATGGATGAAATCACAAAGAAGAGCAAACAACTAGTGCTGATTCCTTCTCCGGGAGCATCTACATTAATAAATGTCTTTAGAAGGAGAGGATTTCATTAAAGGAGTTAGGATCATGGACCATTGTGAAAAACCAAAGAAACAGTTTTCTTAGTTGGTTAGAAATCAGGAAAATGATAGGAGAGGCCATTGGATTTTGAAACTCTGGCAGCAGTAGAATTAGAGAAAATGACACGCATGAGTTTGAGAAGTTTGGCAGAATGAGAGAGAAAACTTGAGTGGTAAGAGGAAGATGGGCTTCCCAGGTGGCTTAGTGGTAAAGATTCTGCCTGCATGCAGAACTCGGGTTCGATCCCTGGGTCAGGAAGATCCCCTGGAGAATGGAATGGTAACCCACTCCATTCCTGCCTGGGAAACCCCATGGACAGAGGAGCTGGCAGGCTGCAGTCAATGGGGTTGCAAAGAGCTAAACAACAACGACAACTTCTCTCACCAGATAAGCTGCTTGACAGCAGGGACCTTGTTTGTCTTGCTCAAGAGAAAGGATCAAGTCAAGTTAGGAAAGAGTGAGGAAGTATTTCATGTTTTGGGAAGTAGGGGCTAGGATTTGGTATTTCTGCAAATGACGGACCAGGGTCCTATAGAAGACAAGAGCAGTAAATAGAATACCAAGGTGGAAAATTTATCATTGGTAAGAAAATAGATAATTTATGAGAATCTGAGCTTAGAGGAAAGAGTATGGGAATTGTTGACAAAGTCTGAGATGAGAAGGGAGGGAGTAACTCCATTAATACATGATAAATATGTACTAAGCAGATTTAATAAAGAATAGCCAAATATCTGAGAAATTGGGAAATAAAACTTAGGAGGACATTTTGTGTACATACAGATATTTTAAAAATAATTTTTCCCCTTTAAAACTACCTTTTTATGTATCAAGTAACAGCATTTGTTTTTTTTTTTTTTTTTTTTTTTTCCAGACAAGGATTTATTTTTTATTTTTTTTTTTTTATCACAACCATAGTGTATCTTTTTTTTTTTTTTTTTACATGTATTCCCCATCCCGGTCCCCCCTCCCACCTCCCTCTCCACCCAATCCCTCTGGGTCTTCCCAGTGCACCAGGCCCGAGCACTTGTCTCATGCACCCAACCTGGGCTGGTGAACTGTTTCACCCTAGATAATATATGTGTTTCAATGCTGTGCTCTTGAAACATCCCACCCTCGCCTTCTCCCAGAGTCCACAAGTCTGTTCTATACATAGGAGTCTCTTTTTCTGTTTTGCACATAGGGTTATCGTTACCATCTTTCTAAATTCCATATATATGTGTTAGAAGTAACAGCATTTGTATAGAACATGTCAATGGCAACTCCTTATTTACTTGACTTTTTATGTAAATATTTCTCTACCTGAAGCTTATCCTTTTAAGCTTTGAAAGATTTAACATGAATCTTTATTCTTTACTAAATAGTGTATCTGAATATAATTTAACTTTAGCATCATAAGTGGGACTCATCAAGAGTATAATCATTTTATTTGCTTCTTATAGTCTGAAATTATTGATACGTTTTTCCTTACATCAAATGGTTTCAGACTGCTTTGAATTGGTAGTGTTTTTGCTATGCTGATATTTTATCTTCTCAATGATCAACTTTTAGCAATTTTTCGTCCTTCCTCCCTTCTTTGTTGATTTTAATCTAGCTGTTCCCTTATTCAATAAAGACCAGAAGGGTACTTGGGAGAGCCAGATATCTGTTATTTATAGACAACTCTTAAGTCAGTGTGGTTGAGGCAGTTCCTTCTAAGGAATAATGCCCATGAAGTTAGTTTGTGACAGCTCAGTATGGTTTGGGAAGAAATTTACAGCTGAATTCATGATGATGTTTCAGATGATTGGAGTTGCGTGGTATTTGGACTTTGAGAGCAGTGGCATTACGATAGTTAGCTAGCTTTATAGGTTAAAATTAAAAATCATAAATGAACTGTTTAATAGAATGGAACACATGGTTCTTTTTGTTTGTTTCACTTGACCAAGTATCAAACTGAAGTTAGAAATGTATGCAAAGCAGAATAATGCTAGATTTTAAAGAATAGGCTACAGCTCAATGAAACCTAAAGGTTTTAAGGGATAAAATAATGAATTAAATTTCCCATGACTGTGAGGAGTTTTTCCTATGGGAATACACAGGCAGTTCCTAATGGTTGAATGTGGCTGCATCCCATTCCTTGGGGTTCTTAGTCCTATTTTTAGACATCCAGATAAAGTCTGCCATTTTTAGTCCTATTTTTAACATCTAGATAAAGTGGATGAAAGCTTTAGTCTTTTCAGCTACAAAGATTAAAGAGCTGATACAGTTTCACTTTTATGGGAGATAATGTTGATTTGAATAGTTATTAAATATTATAATAATTTTAAAAATGTATATACTGAAAATAATCTGAGTGTTTTCTTAGATTAAATTGCTACTTATCCCCACTTTTTGCTTCTGCCTTTATGGTTTTCCTTAAGCCAAACAAAATGAAACTGAAAATCTGATCTCAGTTGCTAAGTACCATAATAGGACTGAAGATTTTGTTACACTGAAAAGCTGAAAAGTCTCCATTTACTCTTCTTCTATTTACTTTCTTCCTCCTATCAGAGTTGAAGCTTCAAAATGAGCTATCGTTTGGGAGTAAAACTGTAAAGTCACTTCTCCTTGTCTCTGAGGACATTGATTCCTCAGAGAAAATTCTTTGTGATTTTTACTTGATAAGATTGCTAATATTGGGAATTTCCTGGCTGTCCAGTCGTTAAGACTCAGAGCTTGCACTCCCGTGGCCTGGGTTCAATCCCTGGTCAGGGAACTAAGAAAGCACAAGCAGTGCAGCAAGGCCAAAAAAAAAAAAAAAGATTGCTGATATTAATGTCATGGTTTACATGATTTCAGTCAGCCTTATGTGCTTTACAGATGAGAACAGCGGGCTCCTCCTGTTTTTATTTTCCATCGTCCCCTAACTTCATGGTTATATTGATTATTGCTTTTATTAGACTGACCACAATCCTTTGCTTGTAGTAATTTTTCTTGGCAATTTCTTTTATAGATTTGGAATGTTAAGATTCTTTTGATCTAAAGTTCAAGAGTAAATAAACATCTTGGAAAAAATAACATATCAACTTTAAATACTACCTATATCAGCCCTGTTTCATTAATAAACCCCACTATCAAGCATTCATTATTTGATCAGCTCATGCAGTGAAACCAGGATAAAAATGTGTGTGTTGTGGTACACAGAAGTACTGCTAAGGCAAGCAAATGTTCTATTTGGATAGTCTAAATTTTTAAAAATTCAGTATTACTGTATATAATACAGGTTAAATTTTTTTAAATAGTTTTCTTTATGAATTAGTAAAAATAGCTTACCTTTTTATCCTCCATTTTCATTTTTAACTTTTTTTTTTTTAAAGTCCGCAGATGCACTTTTGGTGGCAATCGACTCTGAAGTAGTGGGAGCTGTTGATATACTACTTAATCATCGACCAAAACGATCATCAAGACCAACTATAGTAGTTAGTACTCTTAAATGTTTATTAATATGAATTTTTAAACCAAAATAGATCTGCCCCATTGCCATTTTTTCTTCCCCTTCAATTTACTTCGTTTTAAAGAAATAGATTTTTTTACTCTGTAAAAATATTACTTTAAAGTAAGTAGACATTTGCAAGAATAACTACTATTGCTCTCAGGAAACCTTAAAATTCGTGATATTTCTAGAATTTTGTTGGTGCAGTCCATTATTTTTAGTTTGGAACATTCTGCAGGTTAAGTTGAAAATACAGATCAGTTTCCAGGTGGATTTAAGATTTAAATATAAATAATGAAACTATAAAATTGGAAGAAAATATAGGTGAATACTTAACTGTTTGAGAGGGAAGGACTTTGAACAAAAATCATAGTAGCACAGCCTTTGGTTGTATAGAAGTTAAACTTCTGAAATCAAGACCTCAGGAAAAATTAGAAAGCAGATGGGTAACTTTCAGAAGATATTTTTAGCATATATCTCAAATTCATAATCCTAATATTAGATAAATTGATGAAAAACTTAAACATCAGTAAAAGATGTGGAAAAATCTCAAAGTGCAAAATGATAATCTTATTAATAATTAAGTATGAAATACCAATTTTTGCTTATCAGATAGCAAAGATTGTTTAAAAAGTAATAACATTGATAGCAAAGGAGTAGTACAGTCTCATACACCACTGGAAAAGAAGGTAGTTTGAAAAGTGGTTTGGCAGGAAGTGTCAATAACAAGAAATATGTTCATATTCTTTAAACTAGCACTTCCTCCTCTAGGAATTTGTCAAGGAGATGGTCAGAAATGTAGACAAAAATGTTACTTGTAATCTTATTTGTAGCAATGAAAAAACCATGTGACATAATCTAAACATCCCAAAATAGATTTGAATATAAATACCTGTATTAAAATAGTGTTTTTAAAGGAATAATTAGGAGCACCTAACAGTACAGAATGGTAAAAAAAAATGAGTATAGTAAACTGTATATATAGTATGATCCAAGGTTAAAAATATGCATAGAAAAGGAATTGAATGGAAATGTAGCAAAATGTTACCTAACAGCAGTCATCACATTACCAAATTAAGGATATTGTTTTCTTTATTGCTTTTGTGATTAAGAAGATAGTCACTAATAATGCAATAAATTCTACTGTAAAAATGAGATATTTGCTGTGTATGTATCAAAATGTAACAGTTATAACATTCATTATTGGTGAGGATATAGTGAAATAATCAGTAAAAATAATTTCTGGGAGTGCTGTAAACTGCCTATAATCAGAAGAAAAATATTGTTTAAGAAAGAATTATAAATTGATTGCAAATGATCTGCCATACTCTGAGAAAGATGAGAAGCTTCCCTAAATTGAATACTTTATCATATATTAACTGAAATATTTTTCCCTCATTTAAACTATGACAAGTTTGTATAAGCATAATTTTCTCCCAAGGATAGTTCCAGCTAATTTTAAGTGGTAGCAAGCAACCAACAGAGTAGAGAAAAAAGAGCTACTAGTATAGTTCCTGTTCAAAAGATCAGAAATGTCTAGAACCCTATTCAATTTTCTGTCACCCGTCCTCCAGTTACTAGTATATATATATTTCGGTATCCCTACCTGTTCAACCTTCTAACCTTTTAACCCTTTTATTCCCTTGAGGAGGTTGAGTGTAGAGTCCCAGGGTACTGGAGCAACTGACTGATATTATTTCATCACCATTACCACTGCCAATCGGATCTTGAGTTGTAAGGCCAGGCAGTCCTCACCCACTCAGTAAGAGAACACTTTTCAGTGTCTCTAACAAAAAAGATTATCCATCCTTTGCTTTGAATACTTCTAGTGACAGCAAGATCACTTTTTAACAGGTTGATTACCTCTAGACAGGCAATGTCAAGTATTTTTATATACTTTAAAAGTTTGTCATCTCAGTGAATTCTTTCTATATTCTTGGCTTATCAAAACTTTTTTTATAAAGTTTGACTTTCAAATACAGGTTATTTTTAATAGTATGTAGATTATATTTTGTGCAATGAAAATAGGAATTTTAATCATCTATGTCTGTTTTTCACATAGTTAAGTATGTCTCATGGGAAAAATAAGGACCATTTTTTTCAATAGAGATTAAATATGACTTCTTCCTCTTTATAACCTCTTCTTTTGTAACGAAGGGGAATGGAGTAAATTTTTATAGATTTTTCTGTAATTTTTAAATAAATTCATTAATTTGAAGACCCCAATAAATAGAAAGGAAGTATATACACAAACTATTCATAAAAGAAGGAAAAAAATAAGAATGTCAGAAAATAATAAAATGTACCAGTAATCAAAGAAAAGTAAATTAATATTCATGATAGTTTTTTTGCTCATAAATTGGGAATGATCATGCCCAGTGCTGGTGAGGAAATCTTAGTGTGTGGGTATATTCCTGTATTATTAGTAATGTAAACTATTAAAAGGTCTTGATAATACGTATTGGAAGCATCAAAATTGTTCATGGCCTTTAGACCTATAATTCTACTTTAAGGATTCTATTTTAATGAGATAATCCTAAAGTTTGAAAAAGCTGTATTCAAAAAGATGTTTGTGGTAGTAGTATTTATAGTAGCAAAATAAAATACCTTGAACATAGAGTCTATGAACTTGCTTAAATTGCATGCAAAATTCTGTACAAAAAATTTTTTTCCAGAAGAGTCTTTGTTATAGCTTCCTTGAAGTTGCCCTTAAAAGCAGGTGTGGTGGCAAAAAGATTAAACACAAGTACTATAAAATGTTTTAAGGTAGTAGAAATATGGGTATTTTTATTCTTTCTGTTTTTGTATATTTTTCAGGTATTTTATAATGTGTGTACTATTAACAATGTTAGTAAAAATTACAAAAATTAACTGTGAACTTGATGAGCTTATACTATGGAATCAAACAGCTCACAGGAAAACATCTGTGAAAAAGTGATAAGTATTAGAAAGAATACACAGCAGTCATAATATAGTCAACCTTATTTACTTTACCTGGCTCTTATTTACTGATGTTTCTTTCCTCATGTTATGCAGTCACCAAGCATGAGCCCATGTAGTGAAAGGAGCTCAGGCTCCAGAGGACCAGACACCTGGGTTCTATCTACACTTTGCCACTCTGTTGTATAGCTCGGGCACATTAACTTCTCTGAGCCTCAGTTTCTTTGTGGGGATTATAATGCTCAATTTTGCAGGCTATTGTGGGAATTAAATGAGATAATAAATATAAACTGCCTAACGGTTCCAGGAGCTATGATTGTTAGTGTTTTTGTGCATTTGTAACAGGAAGTAGTATAAGTGGTGTTTGAAAATATGTAGAGAATTATGCAAAATAAAGAGTGCCTCCTATTATTCTTTACAAGTAACTTCATTGCTATCAATGTGGCAAGGTTTTGTTGTAGAGGTGGATATAAAATTTTTTTTCTCATGCCTTTATACTTTGCCTATTTTTAACACTTCTGTTTTTCCATTGTATTCTCTTTCTAAAATTCTTGTTCTTTATCCTTGTCATGCATGTTTCCATAATCTTGTGAAAATGAAACACTTTTTCCTAAAGTATTTCTCCAGATATCCACACTTCTTCTTCGTTAGGAAAACAAAACTCTGGCTATATGAATATTTCCTAGTGAAGATTTTGTCTGTCATGATTATACTGCATTTACTAACTAAAGTTGTTTTGAGGTTTCAAAAAAGATTTAATTCTAGTAAAATGTGATTATATTTCTCAAAATAATTTTTATATTCTTTGTGTCTTTTGTTCATTACATTCTTTAGATAAGTGTTTTTTTGATGTCACAAATAAGAACTTTTTGATGTTTATATAAATATTTTTCAGAAACTAATGGAGAGAATTCAGAATCCTGAGTATTCAACAACTATGGATGTTGCACCTGTCATTTTAGCTGCTCATCGTAACAACTATGAAATTCTTACAATGCTGTTAAAACAGGATGTATCTCTACCTAAGCCCCATGCAGTTGGCTGTGAATGTACATTGTGTTCTGCAAAAAACAAAAAGGACAGCCTCCGACATTCAAGGTCAGAAAATTAAGACTTAAATTAAGATGTGTGATGCAGTAAGGTATATGTCAATACAGTTTTTATTTTTGTTCTGTTTAGACTTCTAAGAAATCTGATATTGCAATGAGTAATGAAAGCCAAACTTCTGGCTCCTTTGCTTAATACAATGAGTTCTATATTTTAAAGAAATGTTTACTAAATGATGAATAAGCAGGAAAACTTTTCAGATTATAAATAAGGTTTATCTCATAATTCTGCCGGTCAGAGATAGGGTCACTATTTGCTTTTTAGAAGCAGGGTATATTAATCTAAAAGAATTTCCAAGTAGTGGAAGGGATGAAGGAAACTACTTCCTATCTTATTTATAAGAAAATGAATATTGTTACCTATCTAACTAAATACTCAGCCTGTTATGTCTCTTTGTCCCCTCTCACACAATATTTAAGTCTTTTTCTCTTCCCTTCCCATTCTCCCCAGTCAAAAATATTAACAACTGAGGAGTGAATGAACTCAAGAAAGTATCTCTTCCTGGACAGGTTGAGCAAGATCACACATGTGCATGTTGTATAACATGTGTGGTTTTGGGCTAGACTTGAAAGTCTCATTTTCAGCATAGCCTTTATGTATATATTATATTTACAGTGGTCAAATGTAGTTGAGATAGTGTCAGATAAAGCTTTTACTATAGAAAATGTGGTTGGAAGTCCCAGGCCATCTGTTGTCAGTGTTTTCTAGTTAAGGCTTCTTATACAGTATGTATGAAATTAGCTTTAAAGCTGTGAGCCATCTACCTTACCTCATTTCTCTCCTTAAGAACAGATCTTTGGTGGATCAACAGATAGTCACAAATCCATAAATTGGAAAAGTCCCCTGGGAATCAATTTAATGTTTACTTACAGAGATTGTACTGAAAATTTTTTCTATTTTCATCAATTTTGCAATGAGATCTGTGTTTCACTTTGATAAGATCTGGTTGATAGTTATGGCAATGTTAAAAACAATTTAAAAAATAATTTTATTTATTTGACTGTGCTGCGTCCTTGTTGCTACACGTGGGCTTTCTCTTAGTTGCGGGAAGCCGGGGCTACTCTCTAGTGCACAGGCTGCTCACTGTGGTGGCTTCTCTTGTTGGAGCGTTGGCTCCAGGGCAGTCAGGCTTCAGTGGTTGTGGCCCGTGGGCTCAGTAGTTACTACTCGCAGGTTCTCGAGCAGCAGGCTCAGTAGTTGTGGCGCACAGGCTTAGTTGCTCCATGGCATATAGATCTTCTTGGATCAAGGAATTAGCCCCTGTCCCTTACATGGGCAGGCAGATTCTTTACCACTGAGCCACCAGGGAAGCCCAGCTATAGCAATTTATCTAACTTTTTAGCTTTAAAATGACTAGTCTATGAGAAATTCCCTGGCAATCCAGTGGTTAGGACACCACGCTTCCACTGCCAAAGACGAAGGTTCAATCCCTGATCAGGGAACTAAGTATTAAGATCCTTTATTAATGTTAAATATAAATTATTTTCCAATAGTATGCTTATGTGTGGTGTAAGCATTTGGAGATGGGGTTTGAGGCTGGAGAGAACACAACACCGCTTTGATTTGAGCTGTGAAAAAGCTTGTTCTGAAAGCTTTTAGAGGAGCTGTGGCTTGAGCTCAGTGTTTAAGTATGAATAAATATTAAAAGGTAAAAGGCATTTTACACAGTACATGAATGTGGTTTATTTAGGGAACTGCAAGTGGTTTGGTGTATTTGTTGAAGGCTTTGAGAGAATTTGTTATTGATGTTTGAGAAAACAGTTACAGCAAATGTCAAAAGAGCTCTGACTAAAGTCATTTTCAGGAATTGCTAAGCAGAGCTGCAGGAGAAAAAAAAGTTGACAAAAAAGGAGATAGGTAAAGGTTTCAGGGGAGTTGAAGAGCCAGTATACAATCAATAAGGAAGAGAGGCAGTCTGTATTTGTGAGATACTGGTTTTTAAATTTCAGAGATGATGCAGTGCTAGGTGATACCGTCTTTCCATTTCTAACAATATGGTTAGGCCTTGAGAGCTTTATGCTAAATGAAACAAGTCAGTTGGAGAAGGGACAAATACTGTATGTTTTCACTCGTTTGTGGAATATAAAGCATGAACAAACAATCTGTGGATTAGTTGGGGAATGCATTCAAAGTTGCAGCCATTTCTTAAGAGTTCCTTGTCTTTTTCTTTTTACCAGACTTCCTGATGCTCTGCACACGTGCCTAATTTTTTAGTCAGCCAGGAATTTGTGGAGACTTTGTATATCTTTTCTCATTTCCAAGATCTCTCTATTAAATTTCTGTTTGGTCCACTGTTTCCCTCACCTCAACCTGCAGACTTGGTCTTACAAAAAGCTGCAGGTTTTCCTTGGTCATCTGTACTAAGTCCAATCCTTTCAGCCAGCAGAGCTGTAGGTTTTTACCTCCAAACGAATTGATTTATACCCCGTTAGCATAGAGGTACAGATTTTACCAGTTTCAAAGTGGAAAACTACAGTTCTCCTTAAATGAATTGATGATGGATGTGGCCTTAGGCAAGAAGGCCACAGGTTCCAGCCATTCCTGCCTGAAGTTCTGGTAGTTTTCCAGTAATTGATTCTCAATAGATAATTTTGAGTGACCCAAAATAGTTGATTTTTTAAAAAATGATTTTGTCCATTTTATGCATATTTTTGTGCAGTAAAATCATTGATCTCTTTATATTCCACAACTACTTTTGATAGTGTTTGAATACCAAAATGTCAGATTTTATTTTATTTTCATTTACTGAAGTATAGTTGATTTATAACATGATACTGATATTAGCTATACACCAGTGTGACTCAGAGATGCACATATGTACATTCTTTTTTATATTCTTTTCTTTATGGTTTCTCAGAGGGTATTGAATATAGTTCCCTGTGCTCAACAGGAGGACTTTGTTGTTAATCCATTCTACATAATAGTAGTTTGCATCTACCACCCCCAAACTCCCAGTCCATCTTCTCCCCCTCCCCCTTGTCAACCACAAATCTATTCTCTATGCCCAAAAGGACAGATTTTATAAAGTGGTGCAGCCTCATTATTTTTCTGATTCTATCTAATTGCTTTCCATACTATGGCACTTCATTGTTATACAGCCACTTGTTTGCCACCAATACAAGCAGTTTTTCTGTGCATTATGTCCCTAATCCATATTTTTAGACATGATAATGTAGATTAATACAAAAGTCATTTTTACAAACAACCTGCTAAAATTAATTACCATAAAAAATTACTACAGACATAATGATGGAAACAAATTAGTTGCTTAATTGTATATACTTTTTCTCAAGTTTTTGGAGCAGTTTTGGTATTGCCAAATACCCCTTTAGAAATCCTTACTTAAGATAAAATAATGGTACTTCTTTATTAAATAGCTAGATCAAATTTGGATTTTATAAATATTGTTTTCTTAAAAATGCATTATATAGAGCCTATTTCTGTGTCTAAGACATGAGACCTAGCAGTTAAATAAGGAATAGTTCAATAAATTTATTTCATAAAAGTTTTTAATTTTTATACAGAAAAATTCCATTGCAAAGTAAAAAGACAAACAACCAACTGGGGAAAAGTATTTAAAACACTTTTGACTAGACAGAGGGCTAATATCTTTGATATATAAAGAGATTTTACAAATTGATGAATTTTTTAAAAAAATTACCAGAAAAATAGGGAACTACAAATGAACAGATAGTTTACAGAACTATAATGAAAAGTAAACATGAAAGGATGCTTAAGCTTTTAGAGAAATTTAAAGTAATACAACTCCTAAAATTCCATTTTTCATCCTTTAGGGTGGCAGCATGAAGATGTTGGGAGGGGGAAGAGCTTTCCTTATTGTTTGTGCTTTGGAAACATCCTCCAGATTTTAAGATACATGTGCCATTTTTTCCAGCAATTCTGAGTTTGCAAAGGATATATGAACTAAAGAATAATTATTAATTGAAGTAAAAAATTAGAAGCAACCTAAATTTCCATTAAGTTGGACTGCCGTTAAATGGAAAACCATCCAGTTTTAGGAAATAATGAGGTGACTCTGTATGTAGTGACATAGAAATAATTGTCCCTGTATACATTATGTCTGAGTACTTTTGTGTATGACTAGAAAATAGCAGGAAAGATTTTTCACAGTTCTCTGAAATGTGACTATGTTTGAGGAGTATACTTGGTGGAAGAAGAAAAATTGCAGAGCATTATGTTTCTAAACTGCTTGCTTTTTTAAAAGAAGCAGGCATATATTAAATTTTTGTTTAAAAGTGAGAATATATAATAGTTACCAAATTTTAAATTAAGAATTATATGTTTATAAATGAAAGAATAATAGCAAAACTTTTTTGATTTGGTTCCTGTTAGATATTGAATATGAACATTAATTAGTTCATGGAAGGTAAAGGGAATACTTTTCTATTAGCTAGAAATTAGGCATAAATGAATGATTTTATTCTTAAGATTTGAAAATGTCTTTCAAAAATAACCTGATTGAATGAGTCATATGTTATATATATGTAGCATATTAAAGTAAATTTATTGCTGGGGAAGGAAAATTTAATAAGCATCCATATATTCAATTAGTTAGTAGCAGATTTAATTTAAAATAATACTAAGTTCAGGAATAGAAATTTTTTAATTAAATTGAAGGATACAGAGTTTTAAATCTATGAAAAGAAATACTAAAATGATTTCTTTTAAAGCAATGGTATAAAATTTTTCAATAATTATATCAGAATATTTATTTTTGTCTTTCTTTTTATGTAGGTTACTTTATAATAAGTGTATTATAAATGTTTTATTTTCTTTTAATTTTATCATACTTTAAATTTATGAAAATTATAGGTTAAAAATACTAATCACATGTATATAATAAATGTTTTACATAATGGAATCAAATTTTATCCCAGGTTTCGTCTTGATATATATCGCTGCTTGGCTAGTCCAGCTCTAATAATGTTAACAGAGGAGGATCCTATTCTGAGAGCGTTTGAACTTAGTGCTGATTTAAAAGAACTAAGCCTCGTGGAGGTGGAATTCAGGTGGGAATGAATGGAAATTGTAAATTCTCTCTCTTTTTTCCAGAATATTTTCAGCATGAGTTTTCTCATAGGCCAAATTCTCATTTAATGTTTATTTACATTTGATCCAAAATGATCAGGCCTTGCTGCCACGTACTTAGGATTTTCCTTTTTTCTCAGTGGAGTAGATCCTAGTATCACTTAGGTCACTCTTTCCCCATCTTCGCTCTTCCACTCTTCCACCCACCCTTAAATCCCTACTTTGTTCAATGTTACCAGAGGCATTCTAGGGCAATGTGAAGAATAAAGGGAATGGTAGTTATAAACAAGAGCAAACTTATAACTGCTCTCTTTCCTCGTTTCCAGATTCTATAACCATCCTTGGAGCCCAGCCCTTCATAACTTTCAGAAGCATATTGAATACTTTTTTGTATGTCAGGTACATTTCAAACACCCAGACATTGTCCCATTTCCCTGTTTGGTGAGATTTTCTAGTAGGAGAAATGTAACATGTAGACATAAAACTAATTAGATAAGACTACAATTAAATTCCTAGACTAAGAAGTAGATAATACTTTGTTAAAGAAATTCAGCTACTTATTCTACCAAACTTAGGTAGTTTTGGTTATGTAGTAAATGCAAAGAACGGAGAAGGCAATGGCACCCCACTCCAGTACTCTTGCCTGGAAAATCCCATGGATGGAGGAGCCTGGTAGGCTGCAGTCCATGGGGTCACGAAGAGTCGGACATGACTGAGTGACTTTACTTTCACTTTTCACTTTTATGCGTTGGAGAAGGAAATGGCAACCCACTCCAGTGTTCTTGCCTGGAGAATCTCAGGGATGGGGTCGCACAGAGTCGGACACGACTGAAGTGACTTAGCAGCAGCAGCAGCAAATGCAAAGAATAGAAGAAAAAATATTAGCCAGTAAGGAAAAGTTTTTAGTTCTTTGAGTTATAACTTTATGCAGCCAGTTCATGGAAAACCCCATTGAATAGAAAATTAATCAGTGAGAAATTCTTCATATTTTCTCTTCCTTTTACTTTAAAAACACTGAATAAAAAATTAGCTTCTGAAATCTGATCCCAATTGTTTCATAACTATTTATTTCTAACTTTATTCTTAAGTTGTTCCACTCAGGCTTAAGCTTAACATAATTGATATTTTATAAAGAATTGTCTATTAAAACTTCTTAGTTTCTCACAAGTGATTTAGGCTTGCCTTTAATCAGGTAAGTCCTAAGTTTCAAGGAATAGTGATTCTGTACTAGGAATGTTTCAGTGTTTCTTTCTAACTTGAATTTTGTTCAAAGGAGCATCTTAAAAATGAAACAAAATACTATTTTGTTATCTGAAGTAGTGTAAACACGTTTCAAACTATCATAGAAAAAAATTCTGGTTAAAAATCATATAATAATATTTATTGGATAGCATCAAAATATTATTATTTATTGTTTAGATAAATAATATAAAAGAAAGATATACAGAACTTTATATAGAACTTATAGAGAATAAAGGCAAATGAGTTAAATGAAGAACATGTTGAAAATATTATCAGAATTTCTAGGAATATCAATATATATAAGAAAACACTTTGCTCATCTGAGATTATCAGTGTGAATGCAGAGAACACAGTTGTGTTACAGTTTTCCCCAAAGCTGTGGGGGATTTATGTACCAGCAGGTTCCTTTGACAGCACAAAATGACTTAAGATGTGTAGCACTGTCAGAATTAAAATGTTATTGAGTAATATTTCTTGTGAAAACACCTTAATTAGAAGATGGAAGTGGCATTTCTAATAATAGACTGTGCACTTTGCAGGAATGATTATGAGGAACTAGCCCGGCAGTGTAAAATGTTTGCTAAAGATTTGCTTGCCCAAGCCCGGAATTCACGTGAATTAGAAGTTATCCTAAACCATACATCCAGTGATGAGCCTCTTGACAAACGGGGATTACTAGAAGAAAGAATGAACTTAAGTCGTCTAAAACTTGCTATCAAATATAACCAAAAGGAGGTATGAAGTTTTCTGTGATATATTTAAATTATTTCCTCCACAGTGGTCTAGTGGCTCAGGGCAAAGGCTTTGGAGCAATACATCTACATTGAGATCCTAGTTCTGCTTCATAAAAACTGTGTGTCCTTGGGAAAGTTATTGAATCTGTCTGAGCTTTAGTTTTAAGAATTAATTAAGGATATGCATATTTAAAGAGTTTAGTACAATGAGTATTACCTTTAAGCAAGTACTCAATAAATGGTAGTTGCTATTATTTTTAACAATAATAACAGTATGGATATTAATGTAATGTTTTTGCTAAATAGTAGCTATGCAGGTAAGATTTTGAATAGTAAATGCCTTCCTAATGCAGTTTCCACCTTGTGTTTTGTCTGTTATGAATTCATATTATTAATCTAGTTATAAATAGTCCTTTCTACAGATACAGGGCCTTTCTGTTTAAAAATAAAAGCATCAGATATTATGTTCCTTATTCTTATTTGTTAATTCATTGTGAAACCCAAAGGTGGAGAGACGTATGCTATGATAACTAAGTTGAATCTGGCTCTTCTGGCATCATCCCTTCCTATTAAGGGAAATACCTATTTCTACTCCCCATACACTCACATGCATATGATTCAGGAACTTGAAGAAGGAAGGTATGCATTTTTAATTTCATTTTTTGAGATAACTTAATAGACATGGATGTTGATATGCAGACAATGATGTTCAGTTGGGGAGTTCTGGCATATGATACTTTTAAGGTATTGCTTCTAAGACCCATTATTCTTATTATCAACATAGATGTTGGAGTAAAACTTGCTTATCACAATTATATTAATATAAAAATGGGGCCCAAAATAGATTATGGTAGAAGGCAAGATATAGGACCTTTGGTGCTTGGAGCAGAGTTTTTTATTATCTTGGTTGACAGTTTGAGCCGCCGAATAGCTTTGTGACTTGGGAGATTGATATAGGAATTTTAAGATGTTACTTTAAGATTACCTAGATATTATATTTCTCATTCAGATCTCTGGCTTCAAATCCTATACTTTTTCTAGTACTCTGAGGTTTCTTACTTAAGGTAGAACATTCATAGGAAAAAAATTAAGTATAAGAATTTGTATCTAGGTAGCTGTAAGATTCGGAGAAGGCAATGGCACCCCACTCCAGTACTCTTGCCTGGAAAATCCCATGGACGGAGGAGCCTGGTAGGCTGCAGTCCATGGGGTTGCGAAGAGTCAGACATGACTGAGCGACTTCACTTTGACTTTTCACTTTTGTGCATTGGAGAAGGAAATGGCAAGCCACTCCAGTGTTCTTGCCTGGAGAATCCCAGGGATGGGGTCGCACAGAGTCAGACCCGACTGAAGTGACTTAGCAGCAGCAGGAGCTATAAGATTATAAATCAATAATATACCTATGTGGCTTAAGAAGGAAATACAATGTTAATATGTATACCTAAAAACAGAGAACTCTGATATAATCTTCTTCTAATACACATTTGAATAGATCTTATGTTTATTTACTTTTGTGTTCCACAACCTAAAATAGACATGAAATACTAGAAAATAACAGAAAAGATATAGCAAAATACAAAATCAACTTAAGTGATTGGAAAAAGAATCTCAAAGAAAGGTGGAAAAAAACCAAGATTATCCTGTAAGGGGAGAAAAACTAAGGAAGTTTCCTAATGAGGTATATGTGTATATATATATATACCTGAAGAATTTATAGAGGATAACCAGATGTTCCATTCTAAAGAAGATTAGAGAAAAGGAATAAGGAGTATTCCAGAAGTATCCCAACTTTTAGTTGGGAGGAAGATATTCTATAATTTTAAAAATGAATGAAATATAAATTAGTTTTTTATATTGGATTTCTAAATATAATCAAAGGGAAAAATAGTATTTTCTCCAGTAGTTGATATATTTTATTCTGGTGCTACATCCTGAATAACAAACTGCCCTGATACTCAAGTGGCATAAAACAATACTTCATGGTCATTTTGTGATAATTTCATGATCATTTTATTACCCTCTTGAGTTTTGTGAGGTCACAAACCTCTTGAGGTCAGGAATTAGGAAAGGGCACAGCAAGGTTGATTTGTCTCTGCTTCACCATGTCAATGATCTCAGCCACAGTTATTTGGGAGGTTTCTTCACTCATATGCCTTGTGCTTGAGCAGCACCTGAGGTCTCAGACAGGGAGCTCTGAGTGGGCAGGATGCTCAGTAGGCTGGGTCCATTGAGGGCAGTCCTCCTGAGAGCTCAGGACTGGAACCATGGAAGAGTATGGCCCTCATGGTTTGCTCGCTGCAAGGAGATGGTCTGAGAAGCCTCTGAGGGTTAATCAGAGTGGCTACATGTAGCCTCAGCTTCTTTGTAGGCTGGTGGCTTCAGGGCAGGGGGACGTTTTATATGCCATCTTTTGGCTCCAAGAGCAAGTGTTTCCCAGACAAGGTGGAAGCTGAATGTCCTTTTAAGACCAGCCTTCAGAATTTACATAGCATCACTTCTTCCAGAATCTACTTGTTAAAGCAGTAACAACCTTGGTGAATTGAAGGGTAGGAAATATTGGTAGCCTCTCCATTGTTGATGAGAAGAGTATCAAAGAATTTGTGTCTATATTTTAAAACCACCACAGATTTAGAATATCTCCAATTGAAAGTTCTTCCAGTTACATATTTAACATTATGGTTAATTAAATCATCATTGTATAGAGAGATGACGAGGGCAGCAGTCAGTCCTGAGATTGCTTTGATACTTGGGGGAAGGATGAAACCACTGAGTTTGGGATGCTACCAAACTGGGTAATTGATGGGAAGAAAAGCTGTATTTTTCTCCCTGATAGTTCCTTTTGAGGGACAAATTAACAATTTCGTAACAACACTGAAAGCTAAGCAGAAGGACAAATATTAATTACCAAAAGTAGGCATGGCTTATTAGGAAATTTCTTGATAAGCACAATGAACAACAAAGCTCTGTCCAGGTTTTTTAAGTACACTGTTGCATTCTACAAATCATATTCCGTCTTGGGATGAATCATTTTAAAACAGAACATTGACCAAATGTTATTGAATATCTGAATGATATTATGGTCATTTGTGCTTTACTTCAATGATTTTCAAGCCTGATTACATTACTGAGTCCAGAGTCATCAGAATCCTTAACTTATACTTCCCAGCAAGAACATTATATTGGGAAAATATTACTTCTGAATTTTGCAAACTAAGAATCTTTGTAAACTTCAGTAAATTAATTTCTGTATTTGAACTAGAATTTTCCCCTTTTTTGGGAACATTTTTCCTTTTCTTCTCACACAGAATTTCATTTTATGAGGATTTAAAAGCGTCTTTAATACATTTTAAGAAATTCTCAGTGTTTTCATGGAACATAAATATATGTGGTGTTTAGCCTTTAATTGCTTTGCTGTGCTTGACATGTTGGTTTCTTGTAACTGAAATCATTAATTTTTCTAGGTTGAAGTCTCTTTCTGTGGATTATGCTTGTTAATTTTGAAATTTCATAAACACTGTTATGAGTCTTTATAAAGTAAGTGTTTCATAATGGCTAAGCAGGCTAGTATTGGAGAAGGAAATGTCAACCCACTCCAGTGTTCTTGCCTGGAGAATCCCAGGGACGGCAGAGCCTGGTGGGCTGCTGTCTATGGGGTTGCACAGAGTCAGACACGACTGAAGCGACTTAGCAGCAGTTAGCAGCAAGTAGGCTAGTGGGCTTCCTTGGTGGCTCAGAGGGTAAAGCAGGATAGTAATAGTCACTAATACTTCAGTGATGCATGCTATGACCAGGCACTATTCTAAGAGCTTTACATTTAATCCTCATAACCAGTGTTTGACTAGATACTATTATCATCCTCATTTTATAGATGGAGAATTTGAGGCTGAGAGAGATTTAAAAACTTGCTCAAGGTCATTTAGTAAGTAAGTGGCAGAGCCTGGATTTAAAAATAGATAATCTGGCTCCAGAGTCTATGCTCTTAACCACTATACTCTTTTATTGCATATAAGAAAAATAAACTGGACTATATAGAACTGATTTCAAACCATAATTAAAACTTTGAATATCAATTAAATAATAGCACTATTGGATCCTATATACAAGTTATATTTTACTTGTGTGTGTGTGCTTCCTTTTCAGTTTGTTTCCCAGTCCAACTGTCAGCAGTTCCTGAACACTGTTTGGTTTGGACAGATGTCAGGTTACCGTCGTAAGCCTACCTGTAAGAAGATAATGACTGTTTTGACAGTTGGCATCTTTTGGCCAGTTTTGTCACTTTGTTATTTGATAGCTCCCAAATCTCAGTTTGGCAGAATTATCCACACACCTTTTATGAAATTTATTATTCATGGAGCATCATATTTCACATTCCTACTGTTACTAAACCTATACTCTCTTGTCTACAATGAGGATAAGAAAAACACAATGGGGCCAGCCCTTGAAAGAATAGACTATCTCCTTATACTGTGGATTATTGGTAGGTATCAAGTTAGTTTAAAAGGTTCTGCATTTATTTAGCCCATTAATTCTCCCTTGGTTGGTGGCATTATAAACTGCATTCAACTTATAATTTTACACAGTTTATACAGCAAAAATTTGAACACTTCCATAATCATTGAGTGCTTGCTTCGGCAGCACATATACTCAAATTGGAACAATACAGAGAAGATGGCTGTATTCGTGAAGCGTTCCATGTTTTGGGGGGCTTCCCTGGTGGCTTAGATGGTAAAGAATCTGCCTGCAATGTGGGAGACCTGGGTTCAATACCTGGGTTGGGACTATCCTCTGGAGGAGGGCATGGCAATCCACTCCTAGTATTCTTGCCTGGACAATCCCCATGGAGAGAGGGGCCTGGCGGGTTACAGTTCAAGGGGTTGCAAAGAGTCGGACATGACTGAGCGACTAAGCACATGATCACTGGAGATGTAGGTTATGTTTTTTTTAAAAGATAAATGTTCTTAAACTTGAGAATAAGGAAGCAGATCTCTTCATATGATTTAATTACATGGGAGCTACAAATTCTCAGTCTCTAAAATTGTTCATGATTGTTAAAGACAGATTTTGCTGATGAATTTTTTTTTGTTATAAGAATATGAACATTTTCTTAGGTGTTTTAAAATATAATACATTTTATACTTGGTTGCATTTTAAGAGTTAACTGTTTTGTTATATCATTAGTTTTCTTTTAAGAACCTATGAACTTTTACAGATGCATATTACCTTACCTCTGTTTGTGCTCAGTTGCTCAGTCATGTCTGACTCTTTGGATTGTAGCCCTCCCGGCTTCTCTGTCCATGGGATTTTCCAGGCAAGAATATTGGAGTAGGTTGCCATTTCCTCCTCCAGGGTAACTTCCTGATCCAGGGATCAAACCCACATCTCCTGCATTGTAGGCGTATTCTTTACTGCTGAGGCATCGGGGAAGCCCATCTGTATTATAGAACCATTACTTAAATTTGGATTTAAAGCATTCCCTGGTGACTCACTCTGTAAATCAGTTCTTTACAATGATAGCCATATCTCTTTAGAAATAACAGTCTTTTAAAAAGACATATTATTAGCTGAAAATTGTTATTATGCTATAAAATAAATAATGACCTTCTGCAGTTTTTATTGCCCTTGCCCTTTTTGAGAGGGGTTCTGGGGGGAGGGGAGTTGAGGTATAACTACATTGTCCATTTATGGTCTTTTACTGACATCTCCTTAATTTCCCTCTGGATCGTCAACCTTGTTTTTAACCTCAGCATTTCCCACCTTTTTTTTTTTTTTTTACTATTTGCTGTAGAATAAAAGGAATGTTGAGATTTCATTTTTTTAATGTTATGAAGCTCTACTTAATATGTTCTGACTTTCAGTTATTAAATAATTTGAAAAAAGTTAATTACAATGTTCACTTTTAGTTCTTTAGATATAAAAATAATTTGTATTTGGGATTTTTAAAATTAATTTATTTTTAATTGAAGGATAATTGCTTTACAATATTATGTTGGTTTTTGCCATACATCAACATGAATCAGCCCATAGGAATTTGGGGATTTTTATTTTATATGGAAATTAGTTCAAGTAACTTGACTTTAAATCAGTTTTACTTTTAGCAGTATTCAATTCATGATGCATTAATGTTTAAAATTAGGTAGATATAGTAAAAATAATGTAATCTGAACTTTAGGTTAAAGAGAATTAAATAATTTCTTCTTGTTAATATTTTCCTGTTTCTAATATTTCACTATCATATCTAAAATTCAGTATTTAATTTAGGAAATAATTTATACTTTGTCATATTTGGTTTCAAACTGCATTATTGTAGATCTTTTGAATGTAAACTTTGTTTCTCTTTTTAATTGAGTAGGTTAGACTGAAAGGAATCTCTTAAGAAATACCTTTCCTCTATTAAACTATTTCTGAAAGATTGCTGTATATACCTTAGTTGTGCAGAAAGGACATTTTACATTATTTATCTGTAATTTATTGTTTAAATGAAGTGAGAGAAAGAGAATATCTTCTTTGTTTTGTAAAGTAAAGATTCAGTGTAGCCAGCTCTGTGTAAGATTGAAGTTTATATTTCTTAGCAGTGAGTAAAAACTCACTGAAGTCAGAGTCATCCATTCTTTGGATAGCATAAATATCACTGTTATCACTGAATTTCATAAGAGATGTAAAACTATGGCTACTCTTTTCTAATCACGATGGCTTGTTTCCAATAACAGTGAATACACACATAAACACATGTACCTACAATATTAATTTTCTAAACATACTCTTTCTCAGTAGAAGAGTACAGTGTGAATTAATCCAGTAAAATTCCTGAAAGTATTTTATTTTTCACAGCACAGCTTCTGCTTTGAAACAATTAGATCTGAATAAACTTTGCCCAGGATGTCTCCTGAACCTGTTGTGTCATTAGATCACTCTGTCTTACTTAAATATATAGATCTGAAATTGCTGTAAGAAAACATGTAGGAGTCATTTGCCTGCTTGTTTAAAGGCATTCCTTGGTTCAGTTTACTTTTTCATGCAATGAGTACAGTGACTCCTGACTCATGATACCTGGCTTTTGTACATTTATTTTTTGTTATTTTCCTTAACCCTCCAGAAAAATAAATAGGGTTGAATTACAAAGAGCAAGGTAAAAAAAGAAAACAGTGTGTTGTTGAATCCGCAGACTATTAATGGTATCCATTTAGTTAGGTATTTTTTTTTAATCGTTGGAATATAATAGAACAGCCCTTACAAAAAGGTACATTTTGAAATGTTATATACCTGCTTTGTCCTGGCACAGGCAGTAACAGATATGGCCTAACATGCATGGTGCTTATGATCTAATATTTTTAAAAAACACAGTAACTTGAGAATCACACAGATAAAATAAATAATTATATATGAGTTAAATGCTGCTAAGTAAAGATCATGGAGCTAAGAGGGCAAGGATATTATAAGGGCTGTTTACCTAGTTGGGGGATTGGGAAGGCTGTCCTGAAGAAGTGATAAAGAAGCTAAAATTTTTTTTTTTTATAATTTTCTTTTCTTTTCTTTTTTTTTTTTTCACATGTATTCCCCATCCTGGTCCCCCCTCCCACCTCCCTCTCCACCCAATCCCTCTGGGTCTTCCCAGTGCACCAGGCCCAAGCACTTGTCTCATGCACCCAACCTGGGCTGGTGAACTGTTTCACCCTAGATAATATACGTGTTTCAATGCTGTTCTCTTGAAACATCCCACCCTCGCCTTCTCCCAGAGTCCACAAGTCTGTTCTATACATAGGAGTCTCTTTTTCTGTTTTGCACATAGGGTTATCGTTACCATCTTTCTAAATTCCATATATATGTGTTAGTATACTGTAATGGTCTTTATCTTTCTGGCTTACTTCGCTCTGTATAATGGGCTCCAGTTTCATCCATCTCATTAGAACTGATTCAAATGAATTCTTTTTAATGGCTGAGTAATATTCCATGGTGTATATGTACCACAGCTTCCTCATCCATTCGTCTGCTGATGGGCATCTAGGTTGCTTCCATGTCCTGGCTATTATAAACAGTGCTGCGATGAACATTGGGGTGCACGTGTCTCTTTCAGATCTGGTTTCCTTGGTGTGTATGCCCAGAAGTGGGATTGCTGTGTCATATGGCAGTTCTATTTCCAGCTTTTTAAGAAATCTCCACACTGTTTTCCATAGTGGCTGTACTAATTTGCATTCCCACCAACAGTGTAAGAGGGTTCCCTTTTCTCCACACCCTCTCCAGCATTTATTGCTTGTAGACTTTTGGATAGCAGCCATCCTGACTGGTGTGTAATGGTACATCATTGTGGTTTTGATTTGCATTTCTCTGATAATGAGTGATGTTGAGCATCTTTTCATGTGTTTGTTAGCCATCTGTATGTCTTCCTTGGAGAAATGTCTGTTCAGTTCTTTGGCCCATTTTTTGATTGGGTCATTTATTTTTCTGGAGTTGAGCTGGAGGAGTTGCTTGTATATTTTTGAGATTAATCCTTTGTCTGTTGCTTCGTTTGCTATTATTTTCTCCCAATCTGAGGGCTGTCTTTTCACCTTGCTTATAGTTTCCTTTGTTGTGCAAAAGCTTTTAAGTTTCATTAGGTCCCATTTGTTTATTTTTGCTTTTATTTCTAAAATTCTGGGATGTGGGTCATAGAGGATCCTGCTGTGATTTATGTTGGAGAGTGTTTTGCCTATGTTCACCTCTAGGAGTTTTATAGTTTCTGGTCTTACATTTAGATCTTTAATCCATCTTGAGTTTATTTTTGTGTATGGTGTTAGAAAGTGTTCTAGTTTCATTCTTTTACAGGTGGTTGACCAGTTTTCCCAGCACCACTTGTTAAAGAGGTTGTCTTTTTTCCATTGTATATCCTTGCCTCCTTTGTCAAAGATAAGGTGACCATAGGTTCGTGGATTTATCTCTGGGCTTTCTATTCTGTTCCATTGATCTATATTTCTGTCTTTGTGCCAGTACCATACTGTCTTGATGACTGTGGCTTTGTGGTATAGTCTGAAGTCAGGCAGATTGATTCCTCCAGTTCCATTCTTCTTTCTCAGGATTACTTTGGCTATTCGAGGTTTTTTGTATTTCCATACAAATTGTGAAATTATTCGTTCTAGTTCTGTGAAAAATACCGTTGGTAGTTTGATAGGGATTGCATTGAATCTGTAGATTGCTTTGGGTAGTATAGCCATTTTGACAATATTGATTCTTCCAATCCATGAACACGGTATATTTCTCCATCTGTTTGTGTCCTCTTTGATTTCTTTCATCAGTGTTTTATAGTTTTCTATGTATAGGTCTTTTGTTTCTTTAGGTAGATATACTCCTAAGTATTTTATTCTTTTTGTTGCAATGGTGAATGGTATTGTTTCCTTAATTTCTCTTTCTGTTTTCTCGTTGTTAGTGTATAGGAATGCAAGAGATTTCTGTGTGTTAATTTTATATCCTGCAACTTTACTGTATTCGTTGATTATCTCTAGTAAT